ACATGGAGCGAGGTCAGTTGAGTAAGGGGCATGAGACAAGTGAGACATGTTTTTTGCCAAAAGCTGGCATGCTGAGATGGCTGCCTGAGCAGCTGTATTGTGGTGGTGGCAAAACCAGCGCCGGGGGCGGGGCCTCGGGCCGCGCGGGTAGCGAGTAGGTGTGGTTGGCCGGTGGTCGCGGGACATCTACGGTCTGGGCCCGGGTTTGGGGCAAAGGTGGTCGCGGTAGCAGTTAAGGGCGTGGGGTGGGGGCGGCCACGCGGTCGGGTACGGAAATGGCGCGTGTAGCCGGTGCACTGGTGAGCAGCGTGGGGAGCACGGGGCTTGGGGGGCATCCCTCCGCCTTCTCCTCGCTGACAGGGGCCGGCAGCGCTGCGCTGCGGGCTGAGGCCGGTGGCCATCTGCCGGCCTTCTCTGCCAGCCACTCTCTCCAAGTACCTAGCGCAGAGGTTTAAAGATCCTCGGGGGGTGTCACCCGTCTGCCTCGGTTAGGGGTGGCAGGCCCCTGGGGAGAGTGTCTTCCAGAGGGGGGGTCCTCTCCCCCTCTGGTCCTGCCCCTGGACCCTGATGCCAGGCTTTAACATGTGCCGGCCTTCTCTGCCAGCCACTCTCTCCAAGTACCTAGCGCAGAGGTTTAAAGATCCTCGGGGTGTCACCCGTCTGCCTAGGTTAGGGGTGGCAGGCCCCTGGGGAGAGTGTCTTCCAGAGGGGGGGTCCTCTCCCCCTCTGGTCCTGCCCCCAGACCCTGACCCCAGGCTTTAACATGTGCGCCCCCATCCGCCAGACGCCGGCGGTGGGAACCCGGTGGCCGCCGCCGCTTAAGCAGCGTGGGTTCTCGCGTGCGTGTGAGACACGTCTCCTATCTCTGGGGCTGGGGAACCCCACTTGAGCGCCTGCAAAAAAAAAAATAACAGACAAATTTTTGTACATATGCGTCAAAAAATTTTTTAAAAATCAAAAATAAGTTATAAAAAAATAAAATTGGCGACCAGCAAAATGATAGCCTGGACAAGTTAGGATGGCTAAAAGTAAATTCAAGATAGGATAGCCAGCGAGTTCAGGGCAGCAGGCAGGGAGCCAAAGTGGTCGAAAACTGTGGGAACTCTATAAAAAGACGCTTGAATCCACCGGTGGGAGGGGATCCATCTATGGCTAAAAATGTTAAAAATGCCCTGTGTGTTTCTGAGGTCAAACATGAATTGCAGAGGCCAGGGGCTGCCATGGCTCCTTCCATCAGAACCTAGCGTGCAGGTAGTCAGCTATAGGAGGGGAAAGCCAAGAGTCCTGATTGAAATAACAGGAAAAGAAAAAGGCATTCCTAGAAAAAGCTTAAATGGTGGGCGGCTCTCAGAAGGATCAGCAGCTAATAGTCACCGGGCATGGGAGGTGGCAGATGTCGGGAGGTAACTGCAAAGTGGTCAATGGGCGCCAGAGGCCGAATCAGTGGAATTAGAACAAACAGGCTTTATTGGAAGAAACAAACAAACAAAACGGACCCAGCCTGGGCAGGGTCCCACAGTCCACAACGTCCGGGCTTGGGGAGTCGCATTGCGGGCTGCAGGGCTGCTGCATATATGGACAGGTATGTCCGGGGTTCTGGAATGTGGGGTGTCTTCTGGTTCTGGGTGTATTCATGCCAGGTGCAAAGTGGTGGGCAGGAACAAATCGGGCACTGAGCCAAAAGGGCCCTGCCGGTGCCGGGTGCAGAGCGGCGGGTCGAGAACAAAGCAGGCCATTGGCCAGTTCTGGTCAGCTCCCAGGTGTGTGTGGGAGATTCAAGGCCACTTGCTGCTAGTTGTTTCGGCTGGCTCTGGTCAGCTCCGCACGGGTGGGGGAGACTCAGGTCGCTTGTTGCTGAAGGCCAGTCTGGTATCGATCCGGCCATACAGTAACTCCATAGCACGTGTAATATTAGGGACAAACTTTGTAACATCAGAGAGGGGAAAAAAAGCCTCAGGGCCCCATAGGAAAAGGCCAAAATAAGGTTAACCAGGAAAAGGGGTAAGCTCAGCACTTCTGGATGAAGTCCCAGAGACAGTCGAGTGCTTTAATAGCGGGGATGCTTGTCAAAGCTAACCTAGGTAGAAATCGGCATAGAAGTGATGCTTTCTAACATGTGCTCAAATCTGCACTCCATCTCTTTGCTGAAGGCTGTAGAGGTGTTGGTTTGCTGTGGAGCAAAGAGACAGAGGAAGGACGATGGCAGGGGCAGGAGGGAAAACCTGTAAGACCCGTGTGCCGTGCCATGGGAGGTGCCGCGCAGGGTAATGCCCCTCGCAAGTCCAGGTAGGTACGGAGGGAGGCTTGGGGTGAGGAGGTATCATACGAGGGACAGTAGCGGTGGGCCAGAGAGGAAGAGGGGTACACAAGAGGAAGGCTGTCTCACAATCTAAGCATAGGTTTGTGAGATTCCTGTGGGTTCTCCCTGTGGGGAGGTGGGAAGAAAAAATGCAATTGGCAGAGATGGTCTGTAGAGGATTGTGAAAAAGCAATTCCTATAAAGAGGGACAGAAAAAAAGAAAGGTTAGTAATAGGCTGGTAGAAGGTAAAAAAAAATTCCATGGGGACCAACCACATGAGAACAAGAAGGTGTACAGGTTTGAGCAGTGAGAGAAGGAAAGGTGATGGACCCCACGGATCGGGAGAAAATTATAATGGACGGGAAAAAATTATAATGGACAGGCAGATGTAAGGGCCACATTAAAGAGGCAGGGTCTTGTTCCAGGTCTAAGGGACGATTAAAATGTGTAACAGTGGAATACCAAGCTTGCAGAGAAAAAGGACGGTCACATGAAAGGCAGACAGGGCAAAAGGAAACACCAGGGAGTGGGTGAAGCTAGCATGAGCCAAAGGGGAAAAAAAGAG